AGCAGCAATAAACCGCTGTTACCCTAGAGCAGAAGCTAGAACCACCCTGGTGGTCTCGCTGCTCAGTGAATGGAGAGTGGTGTAGCATCAGTGAGCAAGATGCCAGGGAGGAGGAAAGGCAGGCAGGCAGGCCCTCCGAAGGGGGGGAGCCAGCCTCACAAGGGAGTGAGTGTTGTGGGGGGTGGCAGGGGGTGAGGGGGGATTAGAGTTCCAGGCAGAGGTAAAGCTCAGTTTATTGAAATAAAAGAAATCTGTGGTTCATTGCAGAGGCTGGGGGAGAGGTGGATGCCGGTAGCGATGTGTATTGGGCACTGCCCCGTGCTAAACGCCGTGTTTACTGGAGTCACTCACGTGACCCTCAGAGCTCAGGAAGGTAGTCCTTTTGTTGGGCCATTGCACAGACGAAGAGCCTGAGTCGAACAACTCTCCACCCCCACCCCCACCCCCAGGTCACACAGACAGAGGCAGCAACCACCAGAATCTGAACCCCATGGGCCTTGCTCTTAATTTGCTCCTCTGTCAGGGACATGACCAACTGGGCCCAGAGAGGCCACGCAAAGGGCTGACCTTTATTCTGAGTGTGAAAGGAAGACACTGGAAGGTTCTAAGCAGAAGTGTGACTTCATGTATGAGTCAAAATTAGGTTCCGTTGCAAGAAAAGCCCAGCGTTCACAGTGGTTTAAACAACATGGGAATATAGGAATATAGCTTATTCTTACCCCAAAATGCCCATCAGATTCAAGAGAAAGAGAAGACAACCCACAAACTGGGAGGCAATATTTACACAGGCACATGTGATAAAGGATGCTATCCAACGGATACCAAGAACTCGTAAAACTCGACGATGAGAAAACAGACAACCTGATTTTAAAAAACGGGCAAAGGATCTGAACAGACATCTCACTATAGAAGATGTAAAGAACAAACAAGCACATGAAACGATACTCAGCCTCATACGTCATCAGGGAAATGCAAATGAAAACAACAATGAGCTATTGTTCCTTTCCTATTAACAGGGCCAGAACCCCAAACCCTGACCCCACCCACCCTGTGAATGTGAGAGGATGTGGAGCGACAGGAACTCCCATTCATTGCTGGTGAGAATGGGACAGCCGCTCTGGAAGACAGTTTGTCAGTTTCTAACAAAAGTACACACACTCCTACAGTACCATGGAGCACTGTACTCCCTGGTATTTACCCAAAGAAGCTGAAAAAGTATGTTCACGCAAAAACCTGCGCGTGGATGTTTATGGCAGCTTTATTCATAATCGCCAAAATTTGGAAGCAACCAATGTGTCCTTGGGTAGGTGAATGGTGAAATACACTGCGGCACATCCAGCCAGGAATTACTTTCAGCTCTTAAAAGAAATGAGCCCGGCCTGTGCGGCCCAGTGGTTGAGCGATGACCTATGATCCAGGAGGTCATGGTTTGATTCCCCGTCAGGGCACATGCCTGGGTTCCGGGCTCGGTCCCCAGTAGGAGGTGTGCAGAAGGCAGCCGATCAGTGGTTCTCTCTCATCATGGATGTTTCTATCTCTCTCTCCCTTTCCCTTCCTCTGTGAAATCAATAAAACATTAAAAGGAGAAAGAAATGAGCTGTAAGGTCATGGAAGGACAATGAGGAAAGTTAAGTGCATAATAGGAAGTGAAAGAAGCCAATCTGAGGAGGCTGCACATTGTATGTTTCCAAGTTTATGACAAGCTAGTGTTTTCCGGTCTTTCTTCCCTGGGAGTCCTGTCCTTGGCCTCAGGGCACCAAGTGCCCACCCTCTGAAAAGCCCACACTGGCGACACCGGGCTCTGGCTCATTTGCATATGAGTAGGACACCTGCGGGGACTCCCATGAGGCCTCTTGGAAATTCAGTTCTAGGGCAAGTAGGTCTGGCCTCCAACAAGTCCTGGGGCCTTTCTTCCTTCCGTAAAATCTACTGAACAACAATAAACTGGCTTCAGAACATTGCTCGTCACCTTGGGAGCAGGAGTCCTTGCTGTGCCAGACTTCTAGGGACCAAGGGCCACCTTCTCCGGAAAGCCTTTCCACCTATCCTCCCCTCTACTCGCTCCTCCTTGCATCGCCCCATCCCCTGGCCTTGCCCACACCTCGCAGGTTCCCAGATCACCACACCGAACTCATGGATCGACCCATCAGTCTCCACCACTTGCCAGTAGAACCAAGGTCAGGGGCCGTGTCTTCTCCATCCCTTTGTGTCCAGCGCAGGACCTGGCACCAGTTAGAGCTCAGTAGGGGCTGGTTTCACAACTGGGCTGTGGGCTAGGGCACCTATCTCGTCCAGGACCATCTGCCTTAGCCTCTCTAGTGTCATCCACAGTGGATGCCAAACCCCAAACCAGCTGGCTCTGACAACACACACCACTACCACCACCACCACCACCAACTTGAGACTCTGTCAGGCTGGCATCATCCTAGAATGAGGTCTCAAGACAACCTCCAAGTATTTCATTTATTCAACCATTCAGTTCCCAAACTATATGCCAAGCTGTGCCTTGGAGACTAGGGAGCCAGGCATTGAAAAGGCATGAACCTGCCCTCAGCGGTTCCCAGTCTGGTGTCCTCTCTATTCCCTCCCTCCCTCCTTCCTCCCCACCCCCTCACTTCTAGCCTCCCTGCCTCTGCCCCTTCCATACATACTGATTGGGCAACAACAGACATACAATGACACAGAGTGATGAGTGCCAGGAAGGTGCTGTTGAGCACTCCGAGGGAGAGAACCCCCAACGCTCACTAGAGACCTAGGACATTTCCAGGAGATTCCGCATGGATAGCTAGGCCTCCTCTAGAGGAGAAGCTGTGAGTCATGCGCCCCAAGCGGCCCCACAGACTTCCCCATGAATCAGCCACTGCCCCATTCTCCTCATTAGAGGCACATGCCATGGGGAATTCTCCTTCCGATGGGAGGGGAAAGTTGGGGGGAAGTGGTGGGAAAATGGGGATCAGAGTGGAGTCCCTGAGCAGGCTTACCACCCCTGTCCTTTCCAGAACCTCAGCCCTGACCCCAAGAACGGAGCCCCAGATGGCAGGCCTTGGGCCGCCGGACCCTCATGTTGCTTCCTGCTTACAAAGTGTGTTTATACACTTCACTTGCACACGACCGTGTGTTCCTGGAATGTGTCCAAGGGAAATTGCCTCATGTGGAAGGGAAAGAGGTTGGTTGAGCAGAAAAGAATCACTTCCCCCTCGCTGGAGCCCAGGACCTACCCAAAAAAGGGGGAAATTGTTCAACATCTTCGAAGTGTTTTCATGGATTCATCACATTTATCGAGCACCCACTGCATGCCAAGCACTGTACCTTAGCATGAGATCCCCGCCGTGAACAAGACAGACAAGGTTCCTGCCCTCAAGTCTTATATCCGAGTGGGGATATAGGCCACACACAAACAGCTGCCAGTGGTGATCGGTGCCATGTTGAGAAATAAAGCAGGAAGAAACGGGGGACAGCCACGGCTGGGGCAGGGTGGTCGCTATTTTAGATGGGTTGGTGGTCAGGGAATGGGATGACCTTTGAACAGAGAGC